CCAGGTAGCCTCAACTTTGAACTTTAACACAACTTTAAAAATGCTTATTATTCTGAATTGTGTATGGATTTGGTTTACAGTATTTCTCATTGCTTATGGGAAGACTACTAAAAACGAATATCAACATAAGTCATTTCTGCTGGAACCTTCGTTGAATACTTTTACTATTTTACTATTAGTATTTCAAAAGCATAAGTAGCCGGTGATGTGGTAAGAATCCTGGGAGAGAGAGAGAGTTTTAGTTTGAAAGGCTTCATACCATGGCACAGAATATGCAGTGAATAAGTATATTTTAAATGAATGTAGCCTAGACTTTTAGAAAATAGCCTTCCAGGGAGGTGTGTGTGTGTGTGTGTGTGTGTGTGTCTGTGTGTTCGTGTGTTCTAAGAGTTTGTCTGTAATAGCGCATTTAGTCCTCACAAGAACCTTATGCAGTAGGTTCTGTTTTATCATTTCCATTACAGATGTGGAAACAAATAAACAAAAAGGTAAGAATATTGACACACCACCAGGTCATACTACTGTTAAGTGGACATGCTAAGATTTGAACCAAGATACTCTGATATTGGAGACTATGAAATAAAAATACCTTGTTAATATCAAGACCCTGGCATTTGATAGAAAGTGGTCAGATATGAAGGATCTATTGCTGAGTGAAGGAAGCCAGGCTATGAAAGAAAGATATTGTATGTATCCACTTAATATATACCGACTATCCGCACTCCATTGTAGAGAGCAAAATATTGGAGGACATAAAAGCAATGAAAGTACTTAACGAGAATAAGAGTATGGAATGGGAGGGGTGAAGAGAAGAGGATAGAGAAAGATAGCAAGAGAACAAATAGGCAGGACGTTAGTGAGAAACAGATATGGCTTATTGCCTGTTTATGATGGCATATATAGTATTCTCAACTGGTTTGATCTGAGAAATATTTCATGATGGGTAAAGTCTTTTTACAAGCAAAATGAGAAATAGTGATTGACTGTTTAAAAAAAAGTAATAATAATAATGATTGGGAAAAACAATGAAAAGATATTGAATGATGAAGTGGGGAGATTAATGTCTCTGTATTGACTGACATGCATGGCATTCCCTTTTGAAAAAGCAATGTAATACACTGTAACATTATATGCAATCCAATGTAATATAAACAAGATTATGATGATAAAAAAATAAATAAATAAATAACTTAAAAAAAAAACACAAGAAAAAAAAAAGTACCTTGTTAAACTACCTTTCTCCTTGAATTGCCTAACCTTTGCCCCTGAATTGTACCACCTGTCTCTATTATGCTTTCACACGTAGTCCTGTCTCTGGGCCTTATAATCCATTTGTCCTTTTCACCCTTCTCTAATGCCAGTTGCCACACTGTATTAATTTTTAAAGGTTCATGTAAGTTTTGATATCTGGAAACCTCGACTTTCCTACTTACTCTTTCTCAGAATTTCTTTGAGTATTTTGGGATCTTTGTTTTTCCCTGTAAGGGTTAAGATGAACTTGTCACATTACAGGACAAAGTCCTTAGAAATTTTGACTAGAAGTGATGAGTTCATCCTTATTTTTCTAACCTCCTTTAAACATTATTTTGGGACAAAAGGAAATACATATTAAAAGAGATAGGTAAGAATAATGGTAAAATATACTGACGTTGTTAAGAAGGAATCTTTTCTACTTTTGTTTTTCCATATTTAAGGATTTATTATAACGAATATTACTTCATGAGAAATATATTTAAAGTTTTAATTTTTATTATTTAAAAAAGAGTGTAAATAGATACAGAAGTAATGAGGAGTAAACTTTAATTGATTCCAAGCGCAAAATCCAGATGAATAACCTCCCAGTCTAGAAAAATAAAAATCTGCCCAATATACTATAGATAACTGATGTTTATAATTTTTGAGAAGATAATATATGGGTAAGAAGCATGCTTTAAGAACAAAGAACAAACATAGTACTTTTAGGGAAGAGCAATTTGATCCACCACAGACCAGTGACGTTGATGTTAATCCCAGTCAGAATTCGAGAATAGATTTTTAACCATGATTTAGAAAGAGTGATCACTAGGACTTGGCGTGAGAATTTATTTACTTACTTTTCTCTATTTTTGCTGTTGATACTAGGGGAACATTTGAAGTATATATATATGAGGGCTACTTGGGCAAGAACCAGCTTTATATCTGATTTCACCCTCTCACGAACCTCGTAAGATAATAAGTATATACTTTAGGCAAAGTTATTTGCACAGCATCACATGATGAACAGAGCAAAAATGTAGAACCCACAGTTTTTGACACTTAAAGTAACATTATCTCCCATTGTGTTGCTGAGATATGCTGACTGCATTGCCTGCTGTAGCCCAGTCTTTCCTGTATCTGAGTCTGGGCCACATAACCAAATGTAACTGTGGGGAGCAGCTTTAATAGATGATGACAGTTGGCCATTTTTAACTGTCAGGAAGATGTATGCAGCAGTATAGAGTTTAATCTACAACATGAGTAACATAGGTTCAGTGGGAATAAGGAATTTTCTGGTTATAAAGGATAATAAATGCTCAAATTGATTTTAAAATGGTTGTAAAGCAGCCTCCCCTAGAGAATTTTATCGAAAGGATGGATTCCACTCTGCCTGTAGTATTTGAAATATAATCCCACTTCACTCGTTGGCTAGATAAAAGCTCATGCCAGTTCTAAGAGTCTATAAAAATATTAGCTGACACATTTAATTCAGTTATTTGCAATCCTGAAGTATATTTAACATTGTATTCCACTCACTAGGATGCAGTAAGAAAGTTTAGGGTACTTGCTATGTGTTAGGCAGTTAGTAGATGGGAAAGGTATATGGCAGAGGACAAAAAATACATTTTTTTTAATTGCCAGAAGCCGTATGCACTTGCCAAAGAGAATGAGCCATTACTCCCTCCCCCCCAATGTGGCATGGTCATGACACAATCATTTTTCCATCTCACCAGGATTTTGGATATGCATGTACACACGCCCAATGTGCTTTTCAAGGTAGTGCTGGGGTTCGAACTGTAGTCAGTCATGTGATATCTAGTTCTTTAGCCACAGGGTTTAACTGCTATGCTGTGGGGCCAATCAAAATCATATTTTTTTCAATAGGCTGAAACATCTGCCTTTATGGAACTTCATTTGCATGAGAGTAGGATAATAAACAGGTAAAATTTATAGTATTCAATGTATGAGAGGGTGATAAGTGCCAAAGATAAAAATATAATAAGGAGGATAAAGGAGTATGTTTATGGGCTAGCAGATGGTGTGGTGGTTAAGGCACTGGACTCCCACATGGCTAACTACAGTTCACGTCCCAGACCCAGCAGCTTGAAAATCATGCTGGACATGTATGTGTGTGTGCCCCAAATCTGGAGAGGAGATGACTGAGAATGGATTGCAGTGTGTCTGTCCATCCCCTCATGGGGGTGATTTGTCACTTTCTCTCTTTTCATTTTTCTCTGTCTCTCTCAGGCAAGGGCATGTGCCCTATGGCAAAAAAAAAAAAAAAAAAAAAAAAGTGTTTTTAGGGGAAGGAAGGAGAGTATAATTTTAGATAGGATGGCCAGGAAAAGTGACGTTTGAACAGAGAAATGCAGGAAGGGAGGAAAGATGCTGGGCAGATTCCTGGCAGAGGAAGAAGGTATGGTACACAGACAGGCATTCCAGGTCAGGAAAACTACAGTTAAGTGCAAAGGCCTTGATGCAGGACTAAGGAACCGAAAAAATCCAAGAAACAATGGGACATAGTCATGTAGAAAGGTTATATCTTGTAGGTCCTTATACATTATTTTAAGAGCTTTGGATTTTACTCTGAGTAAGATGAAGGGCCTTTTGAATGACAGAGCAGCTATGTTATGATTTGACATACTTTAACTAGACCACTCTGTCTGCAGTGTTGAGGGTGGAAGCGTAGAAGCAGGGAACTAGTTGGGAGATTCCTGTATTGTAATATAAGAGGTGTTGGTTTTGAACCAAGAAGCTGATGAAGAGAGGTTAAGTTGTAAGCATATTCTGAAGGTAAAGTCCACTGTCTGCAGAGGAATGGATAATTGGTTGTTAGTGAAAGACATTACAGATGACTCGAATTTTTCAGCTGTGTGATTGGAAAAAATAATACTCCATCCATTGCAGTGGGGAATGGTAGTAAAAGCAGGTTTGTAAAGAAGTAAAGGAAGATTAAGGGCTCTATTTTGGAAATAAGATTTTTCTTAAAAAAATCAAAGTGGAAATTTTATGAATAGAGAAGTAAATATATTTGTGTGTATTTGAGGAGAAAGCTCAGTTGGTGATAAAAAATTGATGACTTAGTGATTGGTGTTTGTGTGGTTTAAAGATAGAATACTGGACTTGATCACCATTGAAGTAAATGTTAATACAGAAGAGGCCCACGCTAGCTCTGTGGGTTGGTGGTTGAGGCAGCCAGAACCCACACTGCTGACTCTCCAGTTTGAGTCTCGCACCCGTGGTGTGTGTGCGTGCATGCCCATGTGCCCCAAATCCTGACAGGATGGAGAAATGAAGGAATTAGGAACTCATCCTGCCTCACTGGGGGTTGCTTTCTTCCTCTCCCTTTCTCTCTCTTTTTCAGTCAAGTGTACACACTCTCCGGCATAATTTTTTTTAAAAAAAGAAGCAGCAGCAGCCCAGGGACTGAGGTATTCATATGGTTAAGGGATTAGGGAGATGAAAAATAGAAGGAGGTAGCAGAAAAACCTCATATGGTTAAGGGATTAGGGAGATGAAAAATAGAAGGAGGTAGCAGAAAAACCAAGAAACCAAGTGAAACAAGAGTTCATCGAAGAGGAAGACAAGTGACCTGCTGTCCTAGGTGCTGCCGGTAGAGCATGGAAGAAGTATTAAGATTCTGATTCTCTATATCTTATGGCATCCTTGATTTCACTTTGTGTCCCTCTGAGCTCCCACTTTCATCTCTATGATTTGCCGTTATTTAAACTTTTAAATCCGTTTACCTATTTCTGATGTTGCAGGAGAATCCAAACCCTCATATGGCATTCCAGAAAGTCCCACGCCCAACAGAAGGATCCCACCTGCGAGTTCATATTCTTCCTTTTCCAAAGATTAATGAAGCCCGGGTTCAGGAGTTAATACATGAAAATCTTATTAAGAACCAGAATGCACCTCTCGCTACACGAGTGGAAAAGAAATGTGTTGTACCAGCAGGTCCCCCTGTGGGTATGTATTTGTCTGTTGGTCTTTCTTTCTGTTGGTTTTAAAACGAAACCTTTTTTTATCAAAGAAGAAAAGTGTACAATTTGATGAATTTTCACAAAGTGAACAAACTGACGCAAGTAGGATCAGCACATTATTGACACTCAGAAACCTTGTTCATTCATTACCAGCAGAAAGGGTAACTGCTAACCTAACTCCTGCTGCTATAGAATCTTTTTGAAATTAAAATCTTTTTTTCCCCTTTATGTTTGATAGAATGCATGCTCACACACATGGGTGGGGTGGAGCACCCTCTACAGGGTCTGATCTGGTCACACTATAATCCCCTTTTTCAATTCCTCTATCCCATAGTATATCTTCGGTACTCATGGGCATGCCTGGTGTGTTTCAGGCTATCCAGGCCAGAGATTTGAACTACTATCACCATGTAGAATCTGACTTCTCTTGAGCAGCAGTTCATTATCATTGTACTATAGAACCAGGCCTAGAATTTTTTTTTTTTTTGAGAGGTTTTTGCTATAGGGCGCATGCCCTCACCAGAAAGACAGAGAGAGACTGAGAGACAGAAAGTAAGAAATCACGCCCCACACCACAGTCTCCTCTACTCCATTCTCCTCTCAGGATCTTGGGACGACCACAATTCGAGTCCTGGACCCAGTGGCTTAAACTCACACCAGGTGCATGTGTGTGAGTGCCCAAGATCCTGAGAGGAGAATGGAGGAGAAGAGATTACGGCGTGTCCATCCCCCCTCGGGAGTGATTTCTCCATTTCTCC